GATAATAAGAGCACCTATCTCCCAGGGTTGTTGTGAAGATCAATGAGATAATAATTTTAAAGCACTTAGCACACAGTGCTAGGCTTATATAAATTTTATCTATTAATTATTAGTAGAAGATATAGCAGGGGATGGAACCAGCCTTCTGGTAGGCCACTACTTGGGGAGACAAGGCTGAGTAATGAGTGCACATCTTGGTGACCTACAAAGCACTATTTACAATGATAAAGGCCTAAATACTTGGAGTAATACTAATTTCTAATAGATAGACTGAGCCAATATAATAAAAATGGAATACTGTCCAAATTAATTTAATGATTCAGTGCTCTATCAAACTATCAAAGATTACTTTATAGAGCTGGAAAGAAATTTTGGAATTCAACTAAGGAAACAAAAATTTAAAATCAGGGGAAGTAATGAAAACGTGAGAAGGAAAGGGCCTAATGGTATCTTAAGCTATACAACAAAGCAGCAATCATCAAAACTATTTGGTACTGGTTAAAAAATAGAGAGGTTGATCAGTTGAACAGTTTAGGTGTACAACACACACAAGAAAATTAATTTAGTAGCTCAGTACCACAGCTTATGTGATAAAGGCTGACTATTCAACAAAAACTGCTAGGAAAATTGCAAGGAGACTGGCAGAAATTAGGTATAGGCTAGCATCTCATACCATATAATAGGATTAGCTGCAAATGAATATATGACTTAGATATTAAATATCACATCATAGACAAGTTAGAGGAACAAGGAAGAAGATTCCTTTAGGGTCTATGGAAAGAGTATGAGTTTATTAGCAAACAGGAAATATAGAGGATCAGAGAAGATGAAATAGACAATTATGATTGCATAAAATTTAAAAGTATACAGCCAATGACACTAAAATTAGAAGGGAAACAGTTAAGTGGGAAAAAAAAATCTTGGCAACAAGTTTCTTAAAAAAGACCACATTTCCAAGATGTAAGGAATTGAATCCAATTGATAAAAATAAGAACCATTCCACAATGTATAAATTGCCAAAGGTTCAAAGGAAGAAATATAGGCTACCAATAGTTATATGAGAAATGTTCCAAATTACTAATAACTAGAGAAATTCAAAAGCAATTGAATTTCAGTCTCACACCCATCATATTGACAAAGTTGTCAGAAAAGGAAAATGAAAAATATTGTTAGGAGTGTGACAAAAGAGGGCAAGTAGGTGGTGAAGTGGATAAGGAACTCAACTTGGAGTCAGGAAGACCTGAGTTGAAATCTGGGCTCAGCAGTTAACTTAGCTGTGTGACCCTGGGCAAGTCACTTAACTTAATCAGTTTCCTCATCTGTAAAATGAGCTGGAGAAAGAAATGGCAAACCACTCCAGTATCTTTACCAGGAAAACCCCAAATGGGGTTACAAAGAGTCGGGTATGACTGAAAAATGACTGAGCAACAACATGAAAAAAAGAGGCACATTAATGCCCTATTTGTAGTACTGTAAGTACATCCAGCCATTTTTTGAAAAGCAATTTGGATCTAGCCCTGCCCCCCAATAATTAAACTGGACATGTTCTTTGATTTACTTTGTTACTAGGCCTCTGCCTCAAAGGCATGGAAGAAAGAGGAATAGGACCCATATATACAAAGATATTTGTAAACATCTCTTTTTTTGCAGTGACAAAACAAAACAAACAAAAAAACCCCAAACCTGAAAAAGACACAAGCAGAATTTTTATTAATATAACTATAAAACACCCTTTATAGAAATCAGAGAACACAAAGAATTGGAGAAATAGTAATTACTCATGTTTGGGCCACATGAATATAATGAAAATGACAATACTTTCTACATTAAATTATAGATTCAGAGCCATACCAATAAAACTAGCAAAAATTATTCTATAAAAATAGACACAATGATAGAGAAATTCATCTGGGGGAACAAAAGGTCAAGAATCTCAAGTAAAGTGCTGAAAAAAAATTAACTATATTACAAAGCAGTAATCAGTAACACTTTTTTATTCCAATTAAAAAGAAAAACAAACCAATAAAGTTGATCATTGGATAAGATTAGGTACACAGAATCAATCAAGCGTGCATAGCATATAGGGCAACTAGGTGGCGTGGTGGATGAAGTGCCAGGACTGGAGTCAGCTTCCAGAGTTCAGAGCTAGCCTCACACACTAACTAGCTCTGTGACCCTGGGCAAATCTCTTAACCGTCTTTGTCTCAGTTTCCTCATCTGTAAAATGAGCTGGAGAAGGAAATGGCAAACCACTCCAGGATCTTTGCCAAGAAAACCCCAAATGGGGTCACAGAGAGCCAGATAATGATTAAAACAACTGGACAGCAAGCATAATGTATAGGCGCGAAGACAGCAACAACTGTGCTTAAAAACTGTTTATTCAACATAAACTGCTTGGAAAACTAGAAAGGAGTCTGGAGAATCATCTCATCATATCAAGAATAAGCTCTAAATTGACACATAACCTAACGATAAAAGCTCAAATATATCATCATAGGAGTGGAGAAGAAGGTTACATTTCAGAGCTCTGGATAGGTGGAAGAGTCCTTGACCAAATAAGGGGAGAGAGAACTAGGAAAAAAAGATAGGATAATTTTGATCATTTGGCCCAAAAAGGATCAATAGATTAGAATTTATAACAAATTTCCCTGATAAAAGTTTGATGTCCAGGGCAAATAAGAACATGAGCTACTTCCCAACAGATGAATGGTTGAAATATATGAACAGGCAGTTTTCAAAAGAAGAAACATAAGTTGTCAATGATCTTGTTAAAAAAATTTCTGGATCAAAAATAATAAGAGAAATGGCAATTAAAGAATCCTGAGGTTCTACTTCACACTTGTCAAAAATGCCAAAAAGAGAAAGTGACAGTTGTCAGAAGGACTGTGGGAAGACAAGCAGCCTAGTTTAATGTTGGTGGATCTGGGAAGTGGTTTAACTTTTCTAGGAAGCAGTTTGGGGCTATACACAGGAAATCACTAACCTGAATATACCCTTTGGCCCAGTGATGCTGTTATTTGGCCTGTACCCCAGAGAGGTCAGAAACATAGGGAAAGGACACATAGAATCAAAAACAAAGTGGGTGCCCAATGTAGGTGAGTGACCCAACTATGACCTGTGAATGTAATGGAAATTATTGTGCTGTAAGAAATTGTGACCAGAGAACTCTGGGAAGACTTGTATGAACTAATGCAGAGCCAAGTGAGTGGAAAAAGGAGAAAAATAAATTCATACAATGACTACAATCATGTAGAAGAAAAAACTTTGCAACACTCAAGAGCTCTGATTAGTGCAGTGATTCCGAGAAGCTGATGATAAGGCATACCTCTCACTTTGTGTGTGTGTGTGTGTGTGTGTGTGTGTGTGAGAATTAGGGTTAAGTGACTGCCCGTGGTCACACAGATAGTAGGTGTCACGTGTCTGAGATCACATTTGAACTCGAGTCCTCCTGACTCCCAGGCCAGAGCTCAATCCACTGCACCACTTAGCTGCCCCATGCCTCTCACTTTTTTAACAGTCTTAGTGGACTAAAAATGCAGAATGAGATAGATAATTTCAGGTGGGGCCCACAAATCCTGAAGATTTCTGGAGTGAGGAACCTGCAGCCTCAAGGGCACATGGGGCCCTCCAGGTTTTCAAGTGTGGCCCTTTGACTGAATCCAAACTTCACAGATTCAGTCAAAGGGCTGCACTTGAGGACCTAGAGGGCCCCATGTGGCCTCAAGGCCACAGGTTCCTCACCCCTGCTTTAGATTGTTGCCTCTCTAGTAAATAATATTGGCTGATATTTGTGTATAATTTTATATCTTTCAAATTGATATAAATTCATTATCAATAGATTTTCACAGCAGTCCTGTGAGGAACATTCTACAGATATTTTTAAATTCCTATTATACAGCTGAGGAGACTGAGGTGCAAGAAGATTAAGACAATTAATCGAGCTACTCGGCTAATTAGTGGCAGAGCCAGGATTCCAGCCTTGTTTTACAATTCCAAATCCACTGTCCTTTCTTCTGTGCTTTCTACTTGTTATTTCACATTACCAGTGTAAAAGATATTCACCAAGTACTCTGTAAAAACATAATGATTTAATTTTTTTAATGAACTCTTTATTTGGAACAATGGGGAAATTGAGTCAATTTCTCCTTCCAACATTTTTGCCACTTCCCTAGGATGTAGGCATGCAGTTAATGTTGTTTATTGACCCCTTCAGGAACCTGACTTAATTTGCACCTGTTTTCTTTAGAATCTCTGTCTGTCTGTCTGTCTCTCTCTCTGTCTCTCTGTCTCTCTCTCTCTCTGTACTCTCTGATGACTGATTGTTTAAGTTGGTTTAAGAAAGGATAGAAAAACTACCTCTTGCCTTATGTCTTTTGTCATATTATAAAATGTCTATTTGCTACCTTAAAAAAAGCCCCAACAACTCCTCACATACTGTGGCACCTAAGTTCAGCTCAAATTGAACCAAGTTTAGCTGATGCCTCACCTAGGCATTTTGGTGTTGTGGACACCATGCCAGACCTCACAAGCTTTTAGCTGTGTGAACACAGGCAAGTTATTTATCATCTCTGAGCCTCATTTTCTTTCCCACAAGATGGAAATAGTAAAACTTGTGGTATATACTTCCCCATAAAGAGCTTTACATCTAAAAGGTGCCCCCAAGTCTTAGTGGAGAATTAAGCTTTAATAGTTAGCAACAGCAGTAAGACTTGGGGGACACTATAATTAAAAGGTTGTATAATTGGAAATAGAACAACTCTGTAGTGGGATTTCATCAGCACCACATCAGGATTTTCACAATCTTCAACATCAGAAGGACGATTGACAATTTAAGGTGTGCCATACCAGATTTTCAATATGTAGCTCATTTTTTTCTTTTTTTTTTTAACAGACCATCCCTAGTCTGTTTTTAAAGTTTTTTTTCCATCAAAAAGTATAACCTTACTAAATTTTATTTCTCTGATTGCAAAGAAAATTTATTAATACAAAATGATACTTACCTGTGCCCAAGAGGTGACCAGATCATCTTGGTGTAGATTCTTCTTAGTGTAGAAACTCTTTGTTTTAATTCTTGCTTTACTCAGCATTTTAAAAGTATTACTGCTTAAAAGTTCTTTTGAGTCCTTGTAGCTATTACGTCTTTTTTGATGGAACTTTATGTTACCATCCTGTTAAAAGCTCCATAATTTCTAAAAGGAAATTATATCGGAGAATTCTGCAGTCTGATGATAGGCTAGATACACTTTTGTTGCTGTTATTTGCTGGATTTTCACATACTTGGATACTTGAAAGTATTATGTAACCTTATTGGTATGATTCTCCACTGCATAAATATTGTTAAGTTATACTTTGCCATGGCTTTCTTACTAGAAGCTTTTCAGTTTTAAAGAAGACATCTCCATTTCTTGGAAACAGAAAGATATGCATGCTGCACAAACACATGGAGAATTGATCACAATTTGGATGTTATGTGCACCTTGCTTCCACAAGCCTTTTTCCATGATTAGAGTCATTTTGGAAAAACAAACAAACAAAAACAAACAAAAAAAAAACCTTCACAAGTTCTTTCCAAGCTGCTCCTATAACTCTAATAATGTGGAGAGAGATGACCTTTTGGATATTGTGCAAGTATTTTCCAGATTGAAATCTTGGCTTTTGCTCTGCATATTCTCTCAGTTAAGGAGTTATGCTCTTCTTGGCACCTCACCATCTCTCCAGCGTGCATGTGTAGAACACTAATATTTCCATGCTATCAGACTGACGGCTGCAAGCCAGATTGGTGTTGAGTTGTTGCATTTGAGGACTGGCTTTGATATCATTCAGGTGAGGGAGAGAACTTTAGGAAATACTACCAAAATAGTCACTAAATGACAAATTGAAACTAGTTTACATGGGAGCACAAGTACTGACTGCACACAACTGTTGTTGAGAAATGAGTCTCAATACTGTAAAGAAAAGACAAAAGAAGCCATTTGTAATCAAAAAGAGACTCTTTTCAACTCTTGAGCATCTAAGTTAATCTCTATGTTTTTTAATTCCTTGGTATTGTGGGCACACAGAATACTCTTTGAGAGAAATCCTCTGTGGAATCTTGCCCTTATTACACTTAACTTTCCTGTCAGATAAAGTAGTGTGTGATATTTCCCCACCTGTGAAAAAAACTTTTTTTGTCCTTTGCCAGGCACTGCTCCTAACACTTCAGCTTACTATTATTATGATGTTCATAAGTTTGCTTGGTTTTAGTACAAGAAGATGACCTTTTCCCACCCTCATTATTTCCTACCGATTAAAAAAAGTCCTGTGTAAATTAGTTGGTGTGTTGTGAAATTGTGAAAGGTAGAAATAATAAAGTATGTTACTATTTTATTAGGGGGAAGATAGCAGGGATGCATTATTTGATCCTAATGCTAAATTCAGTGTCAAACTATGCAATTTTCTATTCCAATTTGATATATTTTTAGAGGTAATTTAAAAAACAGACCTCTTTAACCAGAACTTATTAGGACAGGAGCAGTGATTTAGCAACAGTCAATAAACATAATACAGATATGGTACCAATTCATATTGCTTTGCAAAAAAAAAGTGCCAAAATATGATTTTAGGATTGATTAATCTAAAAAAAGAAAACAATAGAACTCTAATGATGGAAGATCTAATTATTTACTCTTTCTTTGGTTGAAGACATTAAAATTTATAAGATTGGAGCACAGTGTATAGCAAGGCAAATCTAGGTTCTAATCCAATATCATTTTGCCCTTTTCACATGACCCCCACCTAATGCAATGAAGCCCTTAGGGTTGATGTTTATACATATGACAGGTAATATAATAAAATGAGTTTTTCTTTTTAAATATGAGGCATCAGAACTTAAAAATCCAAATGAGTATTGTCTTTCAAAGTGCTCACTTTTCACTTTGGGATTAATGTTGCCCTGCATTTCTCAAAACCTTTTTGCAGTACTTCTTCAACCACAGTGTCTTTTACCTATGGGGTGTTTAGTAAGTGCTAAGTTTGATTTTCTTTTCATTGATGATATTATTACTTCTGGAGTAATGCTCATTCATTCATTCATTTATTTATCTATTATCTATCAATTTATTTTGCTAAAAGTCATGCTACCCACTTTGATTTCACCCACTTTCCACTGTTCATAAGGCTTGTCTTCAAGTGAATATATAAAGGATAAATGAAAGTGGAGAAAAAGGAATACCTGGAATAATATCTTGCTCTTGCAGTAACAAATTATAAGGGCCTGAACTAGGGATGTGGCAACAGGAATGAAGAGGAAGGGACAGACAAAGCACTATACAGGCAAAAGTGATGAGTTTTGATATTAATTATATTAGAGAGTAGGGCGCCTTTATTTTAGAGGTAGTTAGGTGGTGCAGTGGATAGAGCACTGGGCCTGGAATCAGGAAGACCTGAGTTCAAATCTGGTCTCAATCACTTAAGAAGATCTAATAAGATAATATTTCTAAAATGTTTTGCAAACCTTGAAGTGTTATATAAATGCAAGCTATTATTATTAAAATCAAATCTGCTTGCATGGCATGAAGTTTGGCTATCACTAAAAATATTTCCGGATATTCTGGAGGCAGTTCCAAAAGATGAGTTCTATAATTTTGAACATTGGAAATACCAGTAAGTGACTACTTATGCACTTAGGTGTGTAAGTTTAAATCTCCACCATAGCTGTATTTTCATTCCTCATCTTGGTGTAGAGGTGGTTCCCACAAGTTCTATCAGTGGTGTTAGAGGGATGTGAACTTTTTTAAGTTCTGACTGGACAGGCTTTAACTAACGGCTAGTGATTGAGTCTTTTTATGTTATTGGAGGACTGGCCAGCTAAGTACAAAAAGCCTTACAACCAGGAAATTGGCCACTCCAGAGTTTGTTTGTTTTTTAATCCATGACAGTTCATGAATGCAGAAGGTTTGAGATCTCCTTTGGTGGCATGTATACCCATCCTGATGAGATCACAGAGTTTTTTTTTTCAGTTTCAGAATATATCTTTAATATTTTTAAAACGTCATCATTTTGGGGGGGAATGAATGAACAGATTGCAGTTTTTGAATGTGATAGAGTACTGTTATGCTGTAAGAAAGGAGGAAATAGAATAATTCTATAACAAATCCTTTTATTAAGAGGATTTGTGCTGTGAAGTTTGGATTCAGTCAAAGGGCCATATATGAGGACTTAGAGATCCATTTGTGGCCTCGAGGCTGCAGGTTCCCCACACTGAAATAGATAATTTAAAAGATGGATTCAGGATGCAGCATGAGATGAATGTTTTTTGAGCATGGACAATGAGGGAATTTGTTTTGTTTGAGTACGCATATATGTTGCAGGAAATTTTTTTTCCTCCAATGGTGGTGGGATGGGGAAGGAGAGAAAATAGTTTTTTGTTAATTAAAAAAAAAAACTTCAGTAAAAGAAGACAACTTTAAACAGCAACAAGTCTCAGGTTAAACAGTATGCAATGTAGATGTGTTACCTTGTTAAAGTTAAAATACAGTCTTTCTTTCATTTCACAAATACTTGCATATATTATTAGTTGCAGATACTTTTTAGCATTATTTCTTTAATTGTTTTCAGGAACTGTGTTGTGCAAATTTGTTTGATATGCTGTGCTAAAAATTGTTAATAAAAACGAGATACATTTTTTAAAAGTCATTTTATAATCACATCTTGCCTACATATATAGATACCTCTGTATATCAACAAATATTTGTGTATATATTATACATAGACATACATATACAATTTATATATTTGTGAGTATATATGTGTGTACACACATATATACATAGAAATATATGCATGTGTATATACATACACATAGGTACATCTACATCTACATCTACACATATACATATGTATATATGTATACTTATAAACATAAACAGAGATACAGGGAGAGACAGAGAAATAGTAATAACCCCCAAGAATTTCCTGTAATATTCATCTTTGAGCAGATCACATGGGACAAGCTTAAAAAATTTGATGCCTTGGTTGATACCTGATTGAGGGAGGATCAGGTATTTATCTAAAGGCTTTATCTTTGACAAAATCTTTATCCTCTTCTTTTTGTTCATAATATACACATTTACAAGAATCTGTCCCTCTTCTTTCCTCTCTTCCCACTCCCTTTCCCATCCATCTTCAATTACATTTGCATTGCTTATTAATACCCATTTTCTTCCCATGGAGCCCTACCTCTCAGTCATTCAGGAAAGACCTCTTGAACCAGTAGCTCCTAGATTATGGTTCATGGGATGAAAGGTGAACTCTTGCCAGTTAATGTTATATTTCTAGCACTTGGGATGTAATTTGAATTGGAAACCTGCTCTAAATAGGCTGTGTTATATCCTACACCAGTGTTTTCCAACCTCTTGGAATAGAAGGATGCTTTTTTGTTGTGAATTTTCTATGTTCCCACATGATGGTAATTGTGCTATTAGTATCCATTGATTGAGAAAATACGTCATGACAAAAGCCTTTTATGAATTCAGTAACACTTTCTAATGAATTTGTAGTTTATTAATTACAGTAGCTACATACAAATGTTGAGTGAGGTATATTTATATGGTTTATAGAAGCTGTTTGCTGATTTATTACACTGAGATATGTGATACCCTTTGGAGCTAAATAAAAATCAAAAGGGCAATATTGGGCGCTCAGAGTGAAACAAAATAATATTTGAAAAGTGCTTAGACCAATGCCTGGCACATAGTAGATGCATAACAAAATACTCATTCTCTTCCCTTATTCCCCTACCTGATTTGCAATAATCTCTAAATCCTTAAGTGACTAGTAGCCACCTCCTCTGGCATTAGAGGATCATAGATTTAGAGGTAAAAGGGATCTTAGAATTCCCCTAGCCCAGGTTCTTCTTTTTACAGGTAAGGGTCAGAGAGGTTGTAAGTTTTGCCCAAGGTCGTGTAGGTAATAGGTGGATTTTTAACCCAAGTTTTCTGCCTACAGAGCCATACTCTTTCCACTGCACCCTAATATCACCAGCATAATAACACATTGCTGTAGCTTCAATGGTTGTGGGATGACCTTTTGTTTTTAATTGAATTAGAACAGTTAACTTTCTATTTCATGGGCAGATGATACTGACTGGCACAT